TTGTTTGCTTAACCAGAATCTTGTTAACTTTAATAGAATTCTGGAAGAAATTATTCGGTAAGAAATCGGAATTTCGACTAAAATTACCAGCATTCCGGTCAAGTTAACAAGATTCTAGTTAACTGGCGGAAATCTTGTTTGCTTAACCAGAATCTTGTTAACTTTAATAGAATTCTGGAAGAAATTATTCGGTAAGAAATCGGAATTTCGACTAAAATTACCAGCATTCCGGTCAAGTTAACAAGATTCTAGTTAACTGGCGGAAATCTTGTTTGCTTAACCAGAATCTTGTTAACTTTAATAGAATTCTGGAAGAAATTATTCGGTAAGAAATCGGAATTTCGACTAAAATTACCAGCATTCCGGTCAAGTTAACAAGATTCTAGTTAACTGGCGGAAATCTTGTTTGCTTAACCAGAATCTTGTTAACTTTAATAGAATTCTGGAAGAAATTATTCGGTAAGAAATCGGAATTTCGACTAAAATTACCAGCATTCCGGTCAAGTTAACAAGATTCTAGTTAACTGGCGGAAATCTTGTTTGCTTAACCAGAATCTTGTTAACTTTAATAGAATTCTGGAAGAAATTATTCGGTAAGAAATTAACCAATGGATATTTCATCAAAATACCGATCAATCAAAATACCGATGAATCTCTGTATTCGAAACATCCGATAAGAAATATCGATTCATAATTTTTTGGTCGGTTTATCTGATAAAATGCCATTATGATCGGAAGTATTTGGTTAAATTTAATCAGATATAAAAATCCTGATCCAGTAAAAAATTTATTGGTATTTTGATTGGAAATATCGGTTTGTTTTTTATCGGGTAATTTCTCTCAGTGTAATTTTTTTTTCAACAAAAATTTTAGTTCATTCATATTGCACTAGATATTTAATTAATTTAGTTAATTCAACCAAATTTCTTTTTCCGTGCGCGTGATCTTTTTGCCTTGCGTTTGCACATTGAATCGTAGTAATAGCTACAACGTGTATAAACAAAAAAATGTATTACCTTTCGCGAAATTAATATCGTCGTATCACATATGGCACCGATTTCGTAAGAATTCATTACGTGTGCTGTATCTTTATCAGTTCTCGTATATGGATGTATATAAAAGTATCTCGATTGGACTAGTAACTTTATCTTCGCCTTAGCTGCTATCACGATCGGAATGTTTGATGTAGAAAATACGATACGTAAATGCTACATTGTATATTTAAAACAGATAACATTCTCATATAATTTGATCATGCATAACATATCGGATCACTCGATAACTTTCACGCACACATATTACAGCCCGCGAAAAAATGAAACAGAAGAGTAGAAGTAAAGAGAAAGAGCAGGTCGGAGATAAAGATTCCATTATGTTTGCAACACTAACATGACTCGAGCCTGACGTAATTCATAATATTAAATGTCGGTCAACAGCGAATATGATGATAAAAATTCCACTGATATGATGAACATACACGAAAAAAAAGTTTGCTTGTGTTAACCAAATATCTGGTACAATATGAATGAGCCAGAAATTTGGTTGAAGTCACCAGAATTCTATTTAAATTAACAAGATTTCCCGCATAGAAAATATCTTAGAATCTAATTGGGATCCAACTCGATTTTTCACAATAATTATAGGTTCTAGAAATCTGGGAAATCAACATACCTTCTGGTTAGTAATGTTTTAAACATGTAAACCTAAATGGGAAACTTAGATGCCATTTGGTCATCTCCAACTTTGGTTTTCCCAAAGTTTTTGGGAAGATTTCCAGTTTATATTCTAAACTAAAATTGAACAAAATATATGAAACACTGAGTGCTTATCCATTATAAATATATATACACACATTCTTATAAAGAACAAATACTCTAAGTGTTTCAAATATTTTGCTCGAGGAATTTACATAAAATAAATGAACATTTAAAGCAGAGTAATATATTTCTATTTTAGAGAGAGCATAAACAAACTATAAATAAAAAATATATATATATTGCATATATCTTTTTTTATTATTTTACGTTTTAACATGGAACAATGTAAACCAGAGAAGATATTTGTATTGTTTTTATTGCACTAACGAAATGATGCAAGAAATACTTAAAAAACTCGAGTTCCCTTAATATTTCTATTCTGATTCTAGACAGACATGTTCGGGACAAGAATAGGATCTCCAATGGTATCGTAGTGGGACAATCTATTTCGGGATAAAGTTCGACATCTGATTGGAATCTATCTTGCATTTGGGAAAATATTAAGAAATTTCTATGTGGAAATTCTGGTTGAACAGTTGAAAGCTCTCGTTAATCAAAAATCTTGTTAATTTTCAGAATTCAACTGATTTCTTAATCGAAATTTCGAATTCGTTCATATTTCACCAGACATTTGATTAATCTAACTGAATTTTTTTCTCCGAGCATTATATGGAACGTTTCTGCGTTTCTCAATAAAAAGATCAAGTCACTTTTTAATTTCTCAAATTTCATATTGTCTTTCTACCTATAAAGTTGAATGAAATACGCATGTAATACCACGTTTGCATCGCGTTGCAACTAAATGGATCAAGTCTCTCTCTCGCGGCGAAGAACGTGTCGCGGCCGTGCATTTCCAAGCATCGAAATTGAAGAATTTACGAGTCCGCTAAACGAGCAACGTGCACTTGCCCGTTCCCTTCCTCCCGGCCGCACGTCTCACGCTCTGCTCTCGCAGTTTCGTTCGTTCGACCGGTCGAATTTCGTGGCGTCACGTCGCGTCGTCTTTCGTCTCCTTTCGGTCGTACGTCCATCCGTTGCCGCGCGGATTCAATGTCCATGCAAAGCAAACGGCGGCCCCGGCGCGGCTGTCAATTATCCGTTATATACGGCCCTGGCCCTCGAACCCATCCTTAACGATCCCTCAAACTTGGCGAGAGAGAACGGGAGAGAAACAGAGAGCAGGACGACAAGACGCGCGCGTTCTTCTTCTCCTTGCGCCAGGAAGCGCCGAAAACTCACAGGGCCACGAAGATCGCGGCGACACGACGTTGTCGTCGACGACGACAACGGAGATAGAGAAACAGATCGCGGGTGAAAGAGACGGGCCAGTACGATCTTTCCAGGAATCGTTTGGTATTCCAAAGTTTCCGCGCCACCAATTCGCGGAGGGCTCTCTCACCCTTTTGTCTTTTTCACTCTGCCCCGACGAGGCCAGAGATCCAAATAACATGTGAGCGCTGCGTTATACCTCACCTCACCGACAAATATGTCAGAATTGCAAATGCGCGCGGTTCGACGAAACAAACGGCGGCAGCCAGATAGAGACGGGGCGCGAATTCCGTGCGAGCTCTAAGATATATTCGAGGTGGGCCGATGAGGGACGAGGAATGCTGGCATCGGTGGACGTGAAGGGGACACGCGGTAGAGTAGACGGTGTAAATCGGAGCATCGAAAGGATTTTGGACCCACTTTGATATGGAAATTTCGGGGAAGACCTATAATTTCAATCGTCGGCCCTTTGAATTCGCGCAATAAGCGACACTTCTCGTATTTTTTACTACACGTCGTGGATACGTCCCTATCTGTATCGCGTGAAATTTACGTTCTATCCTGAACGTGTCTACGAATATTTGAATGTTATTAGCACATTGTTGAACGATTACGAGAATGTTCGTAGTTTGCTGGTCGAATGTTGTTGATAAATCCATGAGTTATCTACAATTTTGACCACTCCAGACAGCAGAAACTTCTAAAAGACATTTGGAGAGGCCGTTTAATAATTATGTTACACGAAATTTTTTTTTTCTATTTTTTCGATATTTTTTTCCTTCCCCTCTTCTCTTCGTCATACTTCATCACTAAGTTTAGGCTCCCTTCCAATATTATATAACATGTAAAATCACCTCTCCCCCCTCTTTTCACATAGAATAAAAGAATAAAAGAAAAAATAGCTTATAATCATATTGTGAATAATAATTATTAAACTGTGCCACTATCTTTTTCTAAAATACAAATAATCTTTAGATGTAAAAGTCTGGTCGGAAAAGTTTTCTGGTTTTTTTTTTTTTTTGTAAATTTAGGAATTTATCCTTCTTGTCCAAAGAAAGAATTTATTTTTCAATAAAAGAGGTCTCTCATTGACTGGTAAGTTCTAAAACTTATACAAAAAAACCCGACAACTTTTCTGATCAAGAGTATACAAGCTACAGACTTTTTGGATTAGACTTTTGAATTAGACTTTTGGATTAGACTTTTGGATTAGAATGTTATGCTGACAGCTTGAAATTTTGTATTCAAAATTTGCTTCGTTTTCGTATTGAGCAATGCTCCTATTTATTTTTACACATACTTTCATTGCGTAAAAGCATTTGTAATTCTGTACAACCAATACGACGTAAACTTTGCAGAAAAATGTCAGTATTCTGTCAGTAAGTTTTCAGCTTCAGCATCCCCTTAATCAAATGGATAATTCATCGATCGAGAATGTATTAGAATAATTTGAACTTACAATGAGTATGTCGAGCGAGAGAAACAATTCATGCGTATGATATGACACGCAAGTTTTAGATTGAAATACAAAGCTGTTATAGCATTGAGTTAACGAATCTTGTAACAACTATACGTACGTCGGTTACGCGTTCGGAAACGACAACCGCCGCTGAAGAGGATGTTAGGGTTAACAGGTACGAGATATTTCATCCCCCTTCGCTCGTAAACGCCAACGCCTCGTAATTATAACGAGATGTTTTCTTCGAATATAACGAGCACCGTTGATGAGATCAGAAGGTAACGGCCCGGACTGCCAGTACTTTGAGATTGAGTCTTGTTAAGCCGATAGCGGCCAGTCACAAATCAATCGAGCAGTCCTCGTTTTTATGGACGTTTAATTGGCTAATACGGGCGCGAATGATTATGTAACTGTGCCGTGCGGGAAGTATTGTTGTATCGCGGTAACGAGCCGGTCAACCGTAAACGTAAATATTGCTACATCTCACGAACACAGGAACGTGAGCTGTCACTAACCTTTATTGAAACGGCCGCAGATTTTGAAGTTGATCTCGATCCCGGCGGCTGTTTCGAAGAGGATATCTTCCTTGACGTCAGCTGGGCGATGCGATGATTTTGATCTTGAACCTGAATGCCGTGAACGCGCGCGAATATAATGCGATGTTACACGATAAATTTACGTCGCCGCGAAAACGCCTAAACTGACGGCCGTCGATTGAATATGACGGCTGCTGGTGATGCGCGACTGTTCAGTTCGCATGTATCTAGAGTTCCTCAAGTAACAATAGGTCTGTTCTTTCGCTCTGCACTGCTGCACTGGTGCAACAAGTTAAAGTGAGACAAATATATATTTGTTTCACTCTAACTTATTGCACCAGTGCAGTAGTGCAGAGGGAAAGAACAGATCTAATGTTAGAGCTTTTTGCACACGAATTACCATAAATTTTTAACTGAAGGACCAATACAGATTTTGTTATAGTTTTGTGTACTTTTAAGGTAATCAGACATCCCGAATTTTTTCGAGTGCTATTCGGGACATCGATTTGTCATCATTTTCAATGATTGTCAAATAATTTTCGGATTTTTTTACCCCTCTCCCCTCGCCCCCTCGTTTCACACATTTATAAAGTGTCCCGAATTCAGGGAGTCGATTGTATCTCGAAACGGTTACACGACATTTTCCCGAAAACTAGATGGAAAAATGGTGATACCAACAAAAATCCCTAGACAACAATTCTAATTTTTGCGAATTAGTGACACTATTGAAGTAGTAAATCCATGAATTTTGCGGAGTCGTTTTGACATATGTGTGTGTATGCGTCGAATAATAAACTGTCACTAATCCGCAGAAATTAAAATTGTGTTGTTTAGAGGTTTTTGTCGGTACCAACATTTTTCCATCTAGTTTTCGGAAAAATGTCGTGTAACCCTCGAAACGGAGTAAAAATTACAAAAGTGAGCAAATTTACTAGGATATTTGTAACTTCATTGATCTAGGGTTCAATGTCTAGTTCAATGTCTAGGGAATTTGCTCACTTTTGTAATTTTCACCTTGTTTCGAGGTACACAATTGATCCCTAGGGCTGGGAAATCTGGTCACCTTAGTACTTTATACTTGTTTCTACCAACTTTGGTTAACTTAAGGTCGATTTATGATGGCCGTAATCGCAAACTTATGCTGTAATCCATAAGAAATGGACCAATCGCAGTTGATTATTCTTGTAATAATCGACTACAACTGGTCAATTTTTTATGAATTACAGCATAAGTTAACGGTTACGGTTAACGGTTACGGTTACATCATAAATCAGCCTTTAACCGGCTGGTTATTCCAACGGAATTGATATCTGTTAATTCTGACAAAGAGAAATGCGATTGGTCAATTCCGTTGGAATAGCCAGCCAATTAAGTTAACCAAAGTTGGTAGAAATGGGCATTAAAGGAAGATAAAACTATCGGTAAGTCTGATTATATGCAAAAGTAACTAGGACTTCTGATCTGGTTAAATTTCTTATTGCTCAGTCTGAATCTTAAGATACTTTCCTATTGACGCATAATGAGCATGAAGCAACAGATAGTCTGTTCAGTCTCACATCAATGCGCGCATTAGTAGCGCATTAATATGTACTTGTAGATATAGAGAAGAGGAAAAAACATAGATAAATTCTTTAAATTTATGGCACTTGTGCGCATCAACTGAACGAATTCAAAATTAATTCAAAAATCATTTCAGGCAAAAATAAAGCTTGATAACTAATAAATTAAAAATTTTTGTAGTAATTTAATGTACTTAAATATAATATTTTGTAATGCATTTAAATATAATTTAATATATAATATTTAAATATAATATAAACTCTGTTTCCATAAAAATTTGAAAGCGTTCTTTATTTGTCAGTCTTGGATTAAATGCAATAAATGATAATAAAGCAAATTACATTTCGTGTAATTTCTCTTTTACTTTTATTATCGCTATTCTCATGTCGCTTTAACTGTCTTGCCTACAGACTAGAGTTGATGCGTATAACTTCTATTACAGTTTCTCTTTCACTTCCATTCGTTTCTTATCTATTAATGATGAATAGAGTCCGGTCTAATCAGGAAACGTTATGCCTGTATCAGACTGTAGATTGAAGATTTCAATCAGGTCAGGTAACCAATATACGACTTAAACTTTGCAGAAAAATTAAATATTCTATCAGTAAAGTTTTTAGCTTCAGTATCCCCTTAATCGAATGGATAATTCGTCGATCAAGAATGTATTGGAATAATTTAAACTTGCAGTGAGTGACTAGTCAGTATTTCGTCAACACATCAAGCTGTCTAAATATCACAGCTGCTTGACATCGTTGCAGTTTCTTGAAATAATCAACGACCCTTGACTATCTAGAAACGAATACGTTAGATCGAGGATTTTTAGTAACAAATTCAATTAGGACACATACATATGACTAGAGAATGGCTAGACATATATGCAATCCTCTGATATACGATCGCTATCTCTTATTAATAACAAATAACAATGTAACAAATCACAGATACACATAGACCGGAAAACATCTAGAAAATTGCTTCCATCCAAATGTCCCTGCGCACACCGTTTGAAACTTCCTTCGTAATTTCTCCGTGGTGGGAGTCGCGTTTCTTAAAAGCTCCCCGAACGCGCATCTTGGCGAACCGTCAAACGTGCGTCACCGACTATATAATGGCTTATTAACAAAGCGTTGCCGAGGAACGCGGCGAAGTGACAGAAGGGCCTTGACGAGAATCGTGCGGAGGACTCGCGGCGAAGAGGAAACGGGGCCAAGGGGGAATAAGAGAATCCTGACGCCGGGAGTCAAGTCACGGGTTTCTTCGACGCCTTCGTAGAAAGGGCCCCAACACAACGGGGCTTTAATTACGCCGATATCACGGTAATTAAGCCGATCAATGCGTGCCATTGTGCGCCGAGCGGAGGGCCTCGGCGCTTCTCTCGGGACCTATCCATAATCCCGACCACGAGTCTCCACCGCGCGGCACAAAAGCAGCACCCCACCTCCTGGAGGGAGGGCGGGGAGGAGGAGGATGAGAAGGAGGAGAAGGATGCATCGCGTACCTGCAGTCGAATCTTCACCGCGATCACCTCACCGCCGTGGAAAAACTACGACAAAGAACGGGGAGGAGAATAAACACAGTGACCCTCGATCCCGTCGATGATACGTAAGCGACGGCTGGGTCTTCCTACCGGAGACGCGAGCATCAGACGTGAAGAACCACCGCGGGCGTTCGGATGGATCTCCGCCGCCGGAGAGGTTATTTCGTTCGATCGCTCGACCAGATCCGAAGTTGATGGAATTCAATGGAGAGGAACGCTTCGCGCGGCATTGTTTCTGCGCCTCTCAATCTCCTTAACCCTTTGGGGCGCGTTGACCGAACACGAGTATTGAGCGGCGCTCAATGGCGCCTCCGATATATCGCACCTAATAACGATTTCATGCCTTGTGTATAGACAAATTGTCAAGCGTTTGCTTCTCGTAGAACGTCGTGAAGTTTCATAGTGTCGATGTCTCATCATTATCTATCGTTGGCAATGAGTGCAATTCCCACACTGGACAAAATATAATTTTGAAGGGAGACTTTTCCGTTAAAGTGTCAAACTACTCCGTAAATTTCTTAGAGTGAAATTTCAGTTGAAAAATAGAGTAACTTGAATTTAAGTGGCTTTTTATTCATATAGAGTGAACTTTCTACTTTTAATCGTCGAGTATTTCCACTTGAAATTGAAGAGTGAATCTAATGAGCCTCACTGTCACAAGAACATCTTGTAAGATACTTGATTTTTCGAAAACGTACTCTAAAATACAATCAGCGTATTCTTCTTAAAATACTTCTTCACTGAAATGTTATATCTAGTGGTTCAGTTATAAATATAGCACACGGAAAGAAAAATTTTGTTGAATTAATCAGAATTCAGAATACATCAACCAGACTGTTTGGTGAAATTTGAACGAACTATATTTTTGGTTAAGGTAACCAGACAAGTTTGATTACTCTAACCAAACTAAATAAAATTATATTCACACTTCTTACTAGAAATTTTATTACCTAACTGAAAGTTGTTTTTTAAGATGGTTTTTAAGATGTTATTTTACTTAAAAGGCGTAGCAGTGGATGGTTGAGAAAGAGAACGTGGAGAAAGAATAGAGAATACATGAAGAAAGAGGGACTAGTAGAGAAACAGAAAATTTGAAGAAAGAGAAAAAGTCAGAGGATAAGACAGATCTAGAAAGAGAATAGAGAGAGAGAGAGAGAGGAACGAGGGATAGAGCAAGACAGAGATTAAATGCGAGTGCTTGGAAAACAGAAAGTAAAGGCAAAGAGACAGGGCGCATCTGCAGGTCCAGTAGTGACGTTGACGAGAGAGAGAAAGATATTATCGATATAGGTAGAGAGATATTTTCGGACACATTGTTTAGTTAGTCGTACCCAGATCGCACCAACCTTACGCAAACATTTATGTTGTATAATAAACTTTAATATTCGCTAAGTGTACATATATTATAGGAGAGTTGTTATTGAAGTCATCTCTACATTCAAATTTAAATACAATAACTACTCAGTTTATACCCAGAACTACTACAGTTTACTACTACAGTTTATACTCAGAAGAGATACGATACTAGATTTGGCGAATTTCCTGAAAATAATCATACACTAACATCTTAAAAAACAAAATTTTAAGAAAATAATAAAATTTCTAGTAAGAACTGTGAATACATATAATTTTAGTTTGGTTGCAGTAACTAAACTTCAACCAAACCCAACCTAACCAAATTTTGAATTCTGATTAATTCAACCATTCATTTTCTTTCCATGTGTTATATTTATAACTGAACCACCAAATATAACATTTCAGCAAAGAAGCATTTTAAGAAGAATACGCTGATTGTACTTAGAGAGTTTTCGAAAAAATCTCCCTTTTTTTTGTACGATGAAGACATCGTTATCTCCGCCTCAATTACGACCAATGCTTTCAAGGATGCATTTAGATGATTCGAGTGACTCACCAGTTGATGAACATACGGACGCCTCGTCACTGTTTATCGAGTCCCCTGTTCATTAAACTCGTGTGCAGAAGACGGAGAGAGACGACTTAACTCGGAGACTGGGAAGAGAAGGAGAGCGCGTTTGTTTGCTACCGCCCGCATCGTCGTTAGTGTTTGTCGTAGGAGTTAGGACATCGGAGATCTCTTTGCGAAGATCCGCTTCATCCGGCGTTCCTCACTGTTTCAAGGCGAAGACTGTGTCCCTCGCTCTCTCGATCTTAATGTCTGTTTGCTTCGCCATTTCCTGAAACATGTGCCAGCCGAGCCAGGCTAGATGCGTTCGATTTTTTTCACGACCTTACTGATGGAACGCCACGAAGATTCCATTAACCGTGTTTACTCGGAACTGGTAGACCATCGGGAAGCGTATAGGCTAGTAAAATATACACCGCTCATCGTGGTAGCGCATTAATCGTGTGCAGCGAATCGTCCTTGTGGAATTATTAGATGTAGTCAGAGGCAAACGTTGCGATATTTCTGAGTGATTCCCAATCACCTCAGAGCGGTGGAAATGCAGAAACTGAAGTCACGATACGTAAACGTTGTTACAGATATTCATGTCGATAATCTATATTAGAAAATGCGTTTGCCTAATGAAACTATACATTTCTACATAATTCCAGAATTTACAATAAAACAGTAACATCGCACGGATCTGTACTGACTAAATATATTTCTTATTTTCAGGTCACGCTGACTAGTACAACCGCGACGAGCACGAACACGGTCCATCCTAGTGTAAATGACGTGGACTGGTTCGCCGGTGTCGCCGAGGAGGACTGGTTGTATTATACGAGCGTCAGCAATGACGTCGATTCCTTGTGGGCTGTTATCGGGAGCTTTGTACCGCCACCACCTAGGCCACCGTATGTACCCGAAGATGCCATCGCCACCGACGGACTTACTACCTGTGACCTGTGTTCCTGGGCACTGAAGCATAACAGGCATTCGTTTTCGTTGGATGGCACCCTCGGTAAGTCCTACGTTACATTATATACTCGGAGAAAAGGACATGGTGGTGGCAACTATACGAGTTTCGTGCGCAAAACTAATACGGTTTAATAAACTATTTTGCAGCTATTGCGACTAAAGCTGAGTGATTACGGGAACTATATAGTTGCTATATAGAATCCATAACTATTTAGCTTTAATTGTAACCATATATCGCGTTTGTACACATTGAAAAGGATTTCATACAGGATCGAAACGGTTCCTGTTGTAACGCGCATTAGATTACACATAATAATATGAGGAAATAAATAAACATCTTCCTCTTGTCTTTCTGCGCACTTTCTCTCAATCCTCGGCTCTCTTACAGGCCTTCTAATTATTTGTTTTTGATTGTTTAATCATGGAACCTTAATAAATATAATCTTGTTCGTTTAGCTTTAGTTGCAATAACTACAAAATAGTTGATTAAACTATACACATTCCGCATACAAAACTCGTATAATTGTCACCATCATTTTTTCTCTCTAAGTCTACCGTCATCTTACAAATATTCCCACGATTTCGTCAGAAGACTCTAATTAACCCGCGTTGACTTCGCTTGAGAGCTTTTCATCGGGCACGCGTGGAAGTGCTATCGAAGGGAAAGAAATATTTTTACTTTGTCGGTGAAGTAGTACGACGTATTCGTCATTAACTATGCCCCGTTGGTTTTCCTTGTCATCACTTCAGCTGAAAGTTCTCGAATGACGACCACGAGTGGTCGTTTCGAACGAACCGTGCGTCTGTCCACACCAGAAGCGGGTTATTCTTCGTGTACACACTCAACTATGTTTGCAACGTGTTTGTTCGTCAAACAGCTTTTCCAATCTAGTACGTGCTTCGAGTTTCGGAGGGATCCATTTCGAGTGAACGTCAACGAAATCCATTATAATACGATGAAGTCTCTGCTTATCCGTACGTACTAGCTCGCGTTAAATTCGTCCCGGACTTGTCCCTTCATTTGCGTTACTTTCTTAGTCTGAATTAGTAAAAATGTTCCTCACTGAGTCGGTAAAAGGAATATTTTATTAATAATCAATGAATGTTCATTGATTTTCGGTGGAAACAGTGTCATTTTACTATTCCATCTTTATCTCATTGATTCTGACCAGTGAAAGCAAGATTTCACTACAAAATTTATAATACATTCGTTATACGCTATGCAAATTCAACTTTCTGCGTTTGTAACGATGGAATTAATGGCTACCGTGCGGTTTGCGTACAATGACACTGTGTTTGCAAACTGTATTTGTAAACTGCATCAATAATAAGAACAGTCAATTGTTAACTGATCCTTTTAGCGAGATTTTACTGATTGCAGCGCTATACTTATAACTAAACTATCAGTTATAAGTACAGCATTTCAGTGAAGAATACACTAATTGTGTATTTTTAGAGAGTGTTATCGTATCACGTTATATAAAAAATAAACTATATATATTATATATTATATTTTTCGCATATCAGTCTAATACGAATTAAAAAAAGAGAAAGTAGAGAGAAGGCATCGAATATCGTGAATTTTAGTGTGGAGCGATCAGTGTCAACCACTTTAAGTAAAATTTGCAGGAACAACCGTACGATGATTTGATCTATAAAGAAATCATTTCAGAATTTTTATTTCTTAGTCTTCCTGTCGTGCGCAGGAAGCATTACGTGAGGAATTTCATTACTCTGAATTGCTCCAAATCAAGGGTTAGACACAGGATGGACATCAAAGTGATCACAAGCGAGATCGTTATTAAGAGCGCATGATGTGAGATCGTCTTAAGCACATTCATTAACCGTAATGATAAATAATGCGAGCATGACGCGCAGCGCGTACGTGTCGCGCTTTTTGCCGCGTCTGTCGTTCATGACAGACTTCATTATCGGCACGAAATGAATTTAACGCAAATATCTATATAGAGACGAACGATATTCCTTCATCCTCCATCGAATCGTAAAGGTATACGCAGTTTCATTAATGCCCGAATATTTACTAGATTTAGAATTACTAGATATTTTGGACTAGCCGTGCTCCTTTCTATATATGCATTCATCGTGACTGTAGAACATCCAAGGAATCAGAAACTATATTCAAAGGCAGCCGTGATAGTTTGTCGACCTAAAGTTTAATTCGTGTGAATTCATGTTTTCCATCTACTGATATGTTACGTATAATTAATTACGCAGAGAGTGATATATACAGGGTGTCCCAGACTTTCCTCCGCAATTTTTTAGGAACGTAAAACAGATTGAGGTGAACATAATAGTCCCATACCGTTTTACGATATTTGTAGTAAATCTCGAGGTATTAATTAAAGAAAATTGGTAAATAATCACGCGCGATATGGTAGATGAGCTATAGTTGCGCCACCTGCTGTTGTATATTTATATATTAAGTCAAACTAAACAAAAAAGTCTACCATTTTGCATTGTATTGTATCGTTTTTCTGTTAATTATTTGCAATACATGAGCGAAAAAAGAACGTTATCTTATGTGAAATAAACCTCAAACTGTCAAACTATCAGGAATATCTGATTTATTCTTTTCAGCTGCACTGCTACATTGGTGCAATAAGTTAAAATGAGATAAAATATATTCATCTCACTGTAATTTATTGCACTAAGGCAGCAATGCAGCTGAAAAAACAGACTGTGATTTCCAATTTTTCGGATATTTGACAATCATGAGAAGTTATGTAGAAAGCGGCTAATCCAAAATATCTAGTAATTCAAGATCTAGCAAATGTTTAAGCATTAATGAAGCCGCGTGTACACCAAACTTCATATATGCACTCCCATTCCCTAACATAATGATGTATGAAATTTTCAGTCAGGCGTATCATATATAAAATATTCGTGCGTCATGACTGTTGACTATCCGAGAAATCGGCAATTTCTCGGTTAATCAACAGTCATGACGTGCGAATATTTTATGTACGATATGCTTGATCCCGGAAATTTCAATAGTCACTGTGCTGGGGAAACGGAACGGCACTTATGAGATTTGGCACACCAAAATGCAGCAACGCTATTATGCAATAGATAACGATAGGATTCTTCGGTTGAGCGGTCTCACTTGGTGAAAGTTGACTTCGAAACGAAGCAAAAACGGAAAAATACCGTAAAACCCGCAAGAGTATCGACGCGAACAGGTCTCCCTACACGCTCCCCTTCGGTAACGTGTAAACTGTAAGGGATAATTCGAATGCTTTCCCCCGACGTAGGCCGACCTCTGCATCCGGTCGACGTGCTCCGACCAATCAGAAACACGTCAGTCCCGCTCCCATGGTTCTCCTCTTCAGGATCGGTGTTCGCACGTACGCACGAAAGGCACCGGCGAAGGCGTACGTAAGTTTCTCAACGCGTCGTGACACGCGGGGCCTCCCCACTTCTCCGGTGGGCCTCTTCACGGGGCCCCTCGCGCCTCTTCCTCTCTTCCGCCCCGCGGGCCCCGCTGTCCGGGCACGCATTATCACCATTACCATGAATTCCCGCAGTTATTACGCCTCTGTTGAGCCGCCACCAAAATGGCGGTCGGACGCATCCTACCGTGCAAGGAGGAGGACGCACTCCTCCTCGTCTGCTCTTCTTTTTATTGCGGCGCCCGCGCTGCCGGCATGTCGTGGCTACGTTATACCGCTCGACAATTAACGTCGAGAATGGCGGCGCTCGATGGTAGGGATAATTGACCCTGTCAGGACTATGACAGCACTTTTACACCGCTACATGATTCGCCATAGGTCGATCTTCTCGTGTCTTACGTTTTGCGCAAGGTGGAGGCAGTCGCGGCGTATTTCCGGCCGATGCTGGTCGGGGTTGCATTAGATCCAATCTTTGTATCCCATCTCCTTCGATCATTCGAATCTTTGTTGCCGATGACGAGAAAACCGTTCGATTATGTCGCGAGTTCCGTTCGGCAGTACTATACGGCAGTACTATCTTTTGTGAGTAGCTCGTTTTATAGACTTGGAATGAAAGCTGCTGTTAATCACCGCAACGCGTTCTTGCGCTAATCTTTAATTATACTATGTTACTAGATTTCGCACTTTTGCTATGAAGGGTCGTTCTTTAGTAAATCAGGTATGCTGAATACGAATATGATTACGAGAACTATCCATCACGTTTGCGAGAAGATAGAAGCTTAAACCCCCTAAAAAATGCGTTTTTGGCCATTCTCACAAATTCGCAACGCATGAATCAGACGTGCTAACAACTTTGAAACAGCCTGAAATTGATGCTTGAACTTTCGTCTCCATCTCAGAAAGGCAGAAACTTAAAATGCAACTTCGTAGAAACCACTCATGGGGGGATAAAGCAATATCGTAAATTTATACAACAAAATAGCAAAATTATATCACACACCCAACAAATGTTTAGATATTCATAATCAGCGACCACGAAAATTTGTCTGTTAAGGTCCGTTGTACTTCTTTACAGCAAAAATGTAATCAGGATTCCATTCTGTAGGATATAATATTTTTTAATTTAGTTGTAGGTTGTTTATGCAATTTCAACTCCTTTCAGAGGTAATATGACATGTATGATAATACGACATGTATAAATGGGATATTTTTTACCACAATCTTACTATTTCCTGAGTCTGTCGCAAACAGGAATTTACCCAGAAATTTGTTGAATGTGAGTAATAATTTAGCTATTTTGTTGTATTTTATGACAGTATTTTATTCCCCTATGAGGGTAGCTTCTACGAAGTTGCACTTTAAGTTTCCGACGTCTTAAAATAAAAATAAAGATTTAAGCTTTAATTTCAGGTCTTCTTCAAATTTTTAACACGTCTGATTTATGCGTTTATGAAAATTTATGAAAATAGTCAAAAACATGTTTTTAGAAGTTTAAACCTCTGTTTTTCTCGAAAATCTAACGTGATGGACAGTTTCTGAGATTACATTCGTACTCAGCAGATCCAATTTACTAAAGAACGACCCTTTATGACAAAAGAAATTGGTCAAAATGTGCATCATGAAGTCTGTTCTT